TTCTGTGTAACAATACATTTACTATCCCTGGTTTCTGCTTCTTCTCTATGTTTTCCTTTAAATAATTGAACTTATATGTTACATCCATAAAGAAAATTGCCAACAATTAGCAGGAGTACAATTAGGCATAAATATCTGTTAAGGAACAAGCTGAAGTTCAGTGTCTTTATGCAAATGCCTATTGTTGAAAAGATGTCTTGTGTAATCAGGAATTATACTGACAAGTGAAGAATCATTTAATTAATGAGAATAGAGCAATCATTTGGATGGTTCATTCTATTACTGACTCAATCAAAGAGAGAAGATAGCCCTGCTCAGGGATTAGAGCTGCTGCTGGAAGAAATAAACCCCACAATGTTGTTCTGCTACTGCCTTGTGCAGACAGTACAATAATTCCTAAATATAAAACCACATATGCTAAATGTTTGGATTGGGCTTCGAAAATTAATCTGTTACTCCACAAGCACTTACACAAAAGGATTCTGTTTATGCCGACTACCTGCTGCTCCTGCTAATCTGTCAGACTGCAATATTTGGGCCAAAGCACTCACATAACTCCTAATACAGGATGCTAGGGCAGTGAGAACCAGAATTACAGTGAGTTGTGTAAACCTCTAAACCCTGTATGCCATGATGTAGAGTAGCATACGGACTGTGTTTGCAGTCATAGAGGAGCAGTTATAGTGGGAAAGGACCTCAGGAGGTCTCCAGCCCAGCCCTCTCTTCAAAGCAGGTCCAGTTAGGTCAGGTTGCTCTGGGCCTTGCCCAGTGGGCCTTTGAGTGTTGCTAAGGATGGAGATGCCACAGACTCTCTGTTCCAGTCTTTGACCTCTCCCATTTTCCTTTTTTCTAGTTGGAATTTCTCATGTTCCAGTTTGTCCCAGTTGCATCTCTTCTCTCTGGGTCCTCCGGGTCCAGCTTCTCTACATGCTCCCAACAAGCAGCTGTAGGCAGCAATGACAGCAGTCCTGAGCATGGTCCCCATGCCTCCAAAGCTCCTCTGAACACAGCTGTCTCATAACAGCTATTCTGTCTCGTGCAAAAGAACGGAGTGTCCTCCTGTCCTTGACTTATCCCTGCCCCCACAGGAAGGTTTGGGATGGGGCTTCCCTAAGCTGGTGTTGGGTTTGGGATAATTAATAATATAGCACACGTGACCCTTGTTTGCCATTCTCCAGGGCTGGACCTTCCGTGGTGTACTGTCAGCAGCCATTGCGCAGAATTTGTCCCACTTCTGATTCACCAAGCCAGAACACGGTGATTCTGGCATCTCCAAAGCCATGTGTATCACCTACAGTCTGCTCCGCAAGGGCACTGTTCCCATTGGTACAGCACAGAGGTGTACAAGCAGTTTCCCGCTGAACAGGTTGGGATCTCAGCCATGGGACGTACTTCTAGGTAGGGAGCGAAAACTCACTCCAGAGTTGTTCAGGGATTTAAGCTGCTGATGGCTGCGTGAAGTCTCCCATTTCTGGTAAGACCACAGCATGGTCATTTGGATGTGCCATAGAAAATTTGGTGGTTTCATTGACATGCCTACCTGTTCAAGTGTCACTAGAGATTGAATGGTCTCTGTACAGAGCAGTTTCCCTGTGCTTCTGAGGTGCATTCAAGCTCCTTCTCATAACACTGCATTTTTCTGAGGCTGAGTTTGGCCACTGCATTGAGCTGTTATGATAGCCCTGAGTCAGTGGGGCAGCTTTACTTCCTCCTTTGACACAGTACAGTCTCTGGTAGCGACATCTCAGACCTCTGCTGGTTTGTGTGCACTTGGATTTTTTCCATGCTGTGTCAGATGATTACACAAGTAATTGTTTGCCTTCCAACACTGAAAAGAAAAACAAATTTATTACTTGAAGGAAAACATTCCCCCTGGTTTATTCTTTTTAAGTGTAATTGTTGAATTTTTTGTTTTGGGTAACCAGATGCACCCACCTGCGACTCTTGTCACTTCTGGATGTTTTTAAAAAAACACTCTCCTGAGGAATAAATGAGCTAAATATGAAAATCTTCTTCCAAATAAAATTCTCATTTCTCAAATTATTCATCCCACGGGACGTCTACCTAAATACGCTGGCCTTGCGAACTGCCCGGTAAATTTGTGGTGGTGGGCTGGGTACATAGGTGTGAGGATGAGCGAATTCTGCAGCAAGGAACCTTCCTATGGAAATTGCTCCCATTGAGGAAGATTAGTTTAGGTCTTTAGTGACTGCAACTAATACAGTTCTGCTCTCTCTCCAAAGTAGCAAGTAGGTAACCTAATAAAGATCAGTTTACAATAAGGTAACGTGTGCCCTGTCGTACATCTGAACTGTATTTTCCTTTTCTTTTTTTTTTTTTAATTGAAATGTCTCTTCTCCAGTGATTAAAGTGCAGAGTATATATTGTCAAACACCTAATGCACTACAAAAGTCAATTGACATAGTCTGCAGTGAAAGCTGGTTAAGAAAATACAATCTACTAAGTAAAGCATTTTCATTAAAGGTCTTCATTAAAGGTCAAAGAAGGAAAGTGAGACTTGTATGTGCCTTCCTGTATCTAGAGTGGAGCACAGATACCCATATGCTCAGTCTTACAGATAACCCTGTATTCTGGCTTTCTTTTCTGGCTGAATCACTCCATCTGGATCCGTCAGCTCCTTGGCCTTCCGAGGCACATGGGGAGGTTGCAAGTAGTCAGATTACATCCTCGTGCTCTCAGGTGCCACCTCCACTGCCTCACGGTAACCCCTGACTCTCTGCTTTCTCCTCAAGGATTTTGGAGCTGCAGCAGAACGGTGACATGGACATACTGAAGCATAAGTGGTGGCCAAAGAATGGTCAATGCGATCTTTACTCATCTGTGGATACCAAACAGAAAGGAGGTGCCCTGGACATAAAAAGTTTTGCAGGTGTTTTCTGCATCCTCGCTGCTGGGATTGTCCTATCCTGTTTCATTGCCATGTTGGAAACGTGGTGGAATAAAAGGAAAGGCTCCCGGGTTCCATCAAAAGAGGTATTAGACCCTCCATTTCTCCTGGGGAATTTTCATGCACCCTGAAAATTGCTGTCTTGACTTTATAGTATTAGAGAAGGTAGAGAATCAAATTCAGAGAAATTTCCTTAGCTTCCTGATTTTTTGAAGGTAAATGTTGTCCCTCAAAATCTCTTTAGCTATTCATTCTAGAAACGTTTGAATTACATTTAGAAAAAAAGTATATTGGTGTATAAATATGCAACTATTCTAAGTAAAGCACAACTGTTTCTTCTAGAATAGTACATTATTAATGCATCAATATTTAGTTCATTATTCCCATTGGTAAGAGCTAATTCTCACCAGTAAGTTCAAAGGTTTCTTGGCTTCTTCAAGAATATAGCCCCTAAGCTCCATGGCTGAGTCTTTCAAAATAGATTTGCAAAGTTTAGCCCTTTAATCAGCAGTTAGCTGTTTAAATAAGCTTGGCCCCATTTTCAGAAATGTTAACCTCTTTAGACTTCCTTGAACTTCAGTTCTCATTATTTAATCTGAAGTCCAGGGAAGCAAGAGTACGTTAGATATTTCAGATTCAGGCCAGATTTATTTATGAAATCTACTACAGACTTGTTGCAGAAAATCTTGGAAAGGAGACCACAGGAAGATCTGTTATTTTACACCTGAGATGAGTTTGCTTCTACACCTGCGTGTGTAAAGCTTTCCCTCCGGTGGCAATCTATCCATCTCTTTATCAGCCATGTGAGCCTTATATAGTCTTAATACAAATTTCTTACCTTCATAATTAAGTCTTTATCTGTACAAGATATGAGAAAAACATTAGGGGGAAAAAAAAAAAGGTTATTAAAATGTGCTTGGCAGCGATGCCCAAAGCTGAACAGAAATACGAGCTTTAATGTAGCACTACCAATTATAGCTTTTCTATCTGTGTAGCTTAGACACATCTTTGTAGCTTGTGGGGTATTGCTGTTAATTTGTGTGCAGTGGTCTCACCTTCTCTGCAGTTTCTCCATTGCATTTATTTCTGCTAATCTAATGCTGTGTAATCAGGCAGGATTAATTACACTACCTAATTAGACAGCATTGACACTGATGTTAGAATGCGTTTAATCTTATCTTGACTGTTTTAATTCCCAAGCTTTTTTTTTGTTCAAGATCTGGACAAGACCATTATTAAAAGAAACAAAAAAAAAGGACCTCTAGTCTTTAAATTGGGTTTCTCAGGAATAGAAACCCTATAGTTTCAACCAGTAAATTATTTTAAAAACTTAAAATGTACTTGATTGCCATTTACCCAAAATGTCAGAACTACATTCTTCATATTTATCTGGTACAAAACATAAAAATAAATAACAAAGGAAAAGAAAAAACAATATGGATATTTTATATAACTATACAATTTCCTATTTCAATTTTCAAATGCAGAGAAATTCCAGTGTATACTTTCTACAAATGGTATAATTTGGCCTCCTTGATCTTTGTTACGTGGTCATTAGCTTAGCAGTTAAAATTGCCTCTCAATGCTGAATTGAAAAGCTTGGCTCAAAACTGAGTTTAACATGGACGTATGTGCTGAATGTCCCCACTATCCTGGATGTGGGGGTCATTCAACAAAGAAATACATCTTAACTAACTTTCTTAAAATTCATTTTAGCTTCCATGAAATCCATTGGCTCTTCCAGGCCACTAGTCCAGAATCGGGGGTCAGATTGGGCCAGTTTGTGGTCAGCAAGCTAACCCTTTTTCCTGGTGGCTGCCATCTTGTGCTCCAGAATGCAAGCATTTATACTGAAAAAATTGTCTTATGGTTGTGAAGATAACATTTGGTCGCATACCAGAAGTAATCCATTCAGTGATGTCTGCCTGAGTCTGCAGACAGCCTTAAACAGTAGCTCTGAGAGAAGTATGAACCACCCCAGTAATCTCAATGGGATGTTGACTCTGAAGCCTGATGATAATTTAAATGTGAAAACTGCTGAATATTTCCCTACTGATCACACAAGAGAGAAGAGGAAAGATCATATTATGGAGATATGCACAATCTTACTGTGAGTGGGTCTAATTTTGGTGTATCAATTGGGTGGAGATTGGGTTGTGGGCTAAGCATGGGAGAATATCACCGCTTATTTATTTTCACTGGTCTGACCCTAGCCCCAAATGCATCTCTGTAAGAGAAGAAAGAGGAATCTGTTGAGTAACTCACAGAGGCTCAGAAGTGATGAAATTCCAATCTTTTCTCAATTGACATTTTACATGACAAAGTGTTTGTGTGGTTTTTTCAAAATTAAAACCAAACAAAAAACCCAAAACCAAAACACACACAAAAAAAAAAAAAAAAAGGAAAATTTAGGACTGTCCCTCAGAGACATAGTCATGACTTGCACGTGCTAGCAGAGCCTCTGTATATTTCTTTAGTTTTCGATGTGGCCCCAGTTCTCCTGCATCCATATGCAGCTCCAAAGTTTTTAGGAGAGAGCGTTTGGTGAATGCGTTTGGTTTTGGTGTCACCTGTGTGGTTGTTATGTGCATCCATGTCTATGTCCACCTGTGAATAAACTATAGACAGAAAGCCAAGTCCGAGAAATGAGCGCTGCATTTTTTCCCTCCCGTGATGAGCCCAAACCAAAGCCTTTGTGGTCAGTGATCGTCCAGTCACCAGGAGATCCTTGTTGGCCCGCTCCCTGCCCCCTTTCCCTATGGTTTCTGTCCATGTCCCAGTCCTCGGAGGGTAAAATCACGGAGGGGAGCTGGCCTCTCAGCCTCCTTCCAGTCGGGCTCTGTGTTCGGCGTGGTACCAGTGCAAATATTCAGTGATCCATTTTGCTAAGCAGATGAACTCCTGCAGTTTGTTCTAGGTGTGGACTTTTTCAGAGTGCTTGACTTCATTCCTAGACAAAGGAGGGAATCTCAAGCCTGTTCGGTATACTAGGAGTTTTGCCATTGATTCAGGGAGCTCTGCATCAAGCCAGTCATTGAATTGCAGTGATCAAGGCTGGAAGTCATCAGTGCACATCTGTCGGCTGCCTAATTACTCTCTGTGAGGTCCTAGAGTGTGAGATATTTCTAGTGGCCTGGAAGAGCCAGTAGATTTCACAGAGATTAAGGTAAATTTTAAGGTTAGTTGAAATTGATTTTTGTTCTGAATGAGCTGCACTATCTAAACTGAGGGAATACCCCTGTATGTGTATACTTAATGCCGCTTTGAATTAAGCTTTGCAGTTTAATAGAAATACCTGTGCACAATACAGGTGATTTATTTGGTCACCCAGGACTTTCTCCTCTCTTTTTCTTTTTTTTAACTTCTGTGCATTTAAATTCTGGATCATAACAAACAAACCTGTGTAACTGAGTTCTGTGGGAGGAGAGGTTTAAGATGGAAAAGGGACAGAGGTAAGAGAAGGGTTGATATACTATAATAAATATCCCAGTCCTTCTCTCACCCACAAGAACGCAGTTCCACCAGAATTGGTGGAATTGCTTCTTTGTAGGTAAGGGGAGAATGAATCCTTCTTTTGACGTAATTTAAAATTGCTTGGTGTACTCCATTCTGTGGGATGTCAGTGAGTCACCAGTGTTTGGATTTTTGTCTGGAAGTTCAGCTTTTCTATGCAGCAATTTGTATCATAAAGCAAAAAGCAACCTGGGATGTTTTAACCCTTCCTTAAGCCCTGAGGGAATGACAAGGATGGCAGCCTGACCCCTCAGAGCCTCCCATGTTGACATTCAAGCTTAGTCCTCATTGCAGCGTTGAAGAACTGGCATCAACCCAGGCATTTGAGATTACACTTTGCCTTCATGGTGCAAAGTTTACTGCTATTCAGCTGTTGCTAGCCCAACCCACCTAGCTCCGCACCCAGCTTTTCCTGACAGAAACAGAAACCGACTGGTGGAGCTTGGAGATGTGTTGTTCGGATTCAGGGTTTGAAGGTAGCTGTGGTGTAAGGGTCTGCCTCTGGGCTTAGCCCACACAGCTTCAGCTGGTGCGGGTGTTTGCTGGGGACGTTCAGGGATGCTGTCAGCTAACAGTCAGCTGTAGTTGATTGTACGTTGTGCTTCCCAAGCAGTTCTGATCGCACTGTCAAGCTTCAACTCAGCACAAATGGCGATGGTGAGCGGTGCCTCTTGTTTTTCTCATTCCCCAGGACGACAAGGAGATCGACCTGGAGCACCTCCACAGGCGTGTGAACAGCCTCTGCACAGACGACGACAGTCCCCATAAACAGTTCTCCACCTCATCGATTGACTTGACCCCACTGGACATTGACACTTTACCCACACGCCAGGCACTGGAGCAAATCAGTGACTTCAGAAACACTCACATCACCACAACCACCTTCATACCAGAACAGATCCAGACTCTGAGCCGCACGCTGTCTGCTAAAGCTGCTTCGGGTTTCTCCTTCGGCAGTGTGCCCGAGCACCGAACTGGCCCGTTCAGGCACAGGGCACCCAATGGGGGCTTTTTCAGAAGTCCCATCAAAACAATGTCATCTATCCCTTACCAACCAACCCCTACTCTGGGGCTGAATATTGTTAGTGACCCAGACCGAGGCACCTCCATCTGAGCGTCAGACCAAGTTTCCTCACTGTTTCTTTTTTAGGACTCCCTTTGCGAGGAGCACCTGTAATATTGTGGGACTAACATGGATGTAACCTTTTTGCTTTTCCTTAGTTTTTTGTTTTGAGGGTTTTTTTAATTTGTTTGTGGGTTATTTTCTTTGGGGGGGGGTGTCCTTTTTTTTTTAATTTTATTTAAGAATCAGGATTGTTAGTAACAACTCTTCTCTGCTTTCTCAGTCTGGTCTCCTCTGTCTCTCCTTATTCTCTTTATTACTTGAATTGCTTATTCTTTCACCACGATAGGTTTTGGTTACTTCAGGCTTCTCATATACTTTAAATATAGGAAACGTGCAGCAAACCATGCATAGAAAACTCCTGATTACTTTACAGAAGGGCATTCGCTCCTCCTCCCCCACTGCCTTTTTTTAATATAATTGCAATAACTTAAGTCCTTTTCGTGTATTCTGCTGCATCCAATCAGTGCTCCACTGCTGTGTGTCCTTTTAACTGTGGACCAAAGGCAAACCCTGCAGTTTAAAAAAATGAAAAATTAAAAAAAAAAAGGCAAAAAGGAAAAAAAAAGGCAAGCAAAATAAATTAAGTTAAAGGATCATTCAGGCCCCATAATACAAGAATGCAATTTTGTAGGATTACAAAAAGCCATTACTATGCCAGTAAAGACTACAGTTAAACCTACTTTTGCACTGCAACAGTGCATATGACCTTTATGTGATTGTACAGTGTTAAAAGTTTTTCTTATGTACAGTAAACTGTATCATATGGCAGAAGCCTCTGTTGTGTTAAATAAATTAGTATCTCATACAGATATATATATACATATATACACACACAGGTATGTATATATATATACATGTATATATAGCTATAAAATGGCAGCCGTTGCTGTTGCAATTCATTTAATAAAGCTTTAGTAAAAATGTGTTGTATACAGGAAAGATGTACAGTGCAGGGGGTCTTTTCATTTAGAAAAGACAGGTTGCTTTAACGTTATTCTGACTTGCATCGTTTGCCAACAGAGCGTATTTTATACTTTTTTATTAGAACATCCGGGGCAATTTAACGTTTGTACCTAGATGTAACTCCTTTGGTTAGGTTTTGCGTTGGCTACCAAGCATTCTGTAAGGCTAACCTTGGTAATTTTACTTTTCATTAATTAGGCAAATGGAACTCTCTCTTAGGTATGCCATGTTCATGAACAACTGATAGAGCTCTAGAGAAGTTTAAACATAGATCAAAGGTTAATAAATGATTTTCCAAATCAGCACAGTTGATGAATACAATAGTGGTGTTAGTGGAGGGGGAAAAAAAAAAAAAAAAACCCACACCTTGAGAAATACAGATGTGGCCTTAACTATAATCATGTATTGTTCTAAGGACAAAAAATACGAACAGGCGTTCATTTTAACCCTTTATATGTTAAGTTAGTTTTAGAGGAGCTATGTATTATTTACATTAGTGCCAACTGTATAGAACAAGAGAACGAACAGCAGTGAGAGCAAAACCAGTGCCCACCTTGGCACCAGCTTTTTAAAGTAACACTGTTACCCGTTAGAAACTTAGGAAGAGCTTTCAATTTGTAATCCTTAAAACTAAAAATGCGGTTAAGTAGAAAGCAAGCAGTTTATCCTGTGAGGTTTTTGGTTTGGTTTTGTTTTTAACACAACCATACACTTACTTTAACCTAACTCATTCTTTGGCTAGGATTAATAGGAATCAGCCTATGTGATTTGCTTTAGGATAAATAAAAAGGTATATTCTTCAGATCTATTCTATTTTGATGCTAATTCTGTTCTGGGGGAGCATCTTGTACTGTCACTGTTTTTTGTACTAAATCTTCAAATATTGTCTACTGTGTAAGGCAGAACGAATTCTTATCGTGCAGAAGGCCATTTTGTTTCCAGGGTAGCAAGTGTCTAAGAGCATGCACAACTTGCTTCCCCCTTGTAACATTCATGAACTCATCCACACTTCTGAGCACGATAAAAACAACAAAAAAAAGAAAAGTTCTCTCCAACAAGCTATGTAGGGACATACCAGATGTTGCAGTGATTTTAGCTATTAAAAAAAACCTGTTAACCATGTACGATATTTAAAATAGGCCTATTTTGACGTGTTGCCTATTATACAGATACACAAAACACTTTTTGGAGGCCTCAGTTACAAGTGGCAGAGCTTTCTGTGTATAATTTGTCTAAATAATTTGTCTAATAAAATTGTTTTTTAAACTTGTGTTTCCTCGTGGTTCAGTGCTAAGTGTTGTGGGATTTTTGGTCTGTGGCGAGGCATCCACCCACCAACACTTTTGCCACGCCATTAACTGAAAGGGGGGATTTAGCCCATGGAGATGGGGTGAGCTCACCAGCTCAGTGTAGAGAACCCATGGAAATCACCAAGATTTACAGTGTGTATCCATATCAGACTTAGATTTCAGAAAACACATGTTTTGGAGAATGATTTTAGAGTTCATTGGCACTGACATGTAAGGGATGTGATTTGTAGAAATACTGCATCCCACCTCCATAATCTTTAGTGTAATCTAGGAATTTTCTTGGAACTTGGTCATTATTTCTATAGAATCACATTCTGCCGTCTTTATTTGCACAGAAGCTAGTTGGGTCTGACACTGGACGTACACTGCCCTTATATTTTACAAAAGTTTTAGTGTGAGAGAAGGTAGCCCGCATTGCATTATGGCCCTGTCAGTCTTTAAGTGTCGTTAACATGTTAAACTTAATGGCCTCGTCACTAGTAAGACATGCAGCATGTACTGCAATAACCTCCGTCATGATGATTTAACTTGCAGCATCTGAAGTTTGTCTGCTGGCTTTTTACATTCAGTATATTTCATTCACTGAATAATGTTTTTGACCTCACAATTCTCTACTAAGCTTAACAGGCATTCAGGGGAATTCATTTTATGGTTTAAAAAATATGTTGGAAGAAGTCCGCAGTTCGCTGCCACATTTTTTAAAAAATCTGAATCCAGGTAACATAAAAATCTAAAGGTGGTTAGATTATTTAAAGTGACTTGAGGTAAAAATGTAAAGGTGCCTACACACGAATGCCAATAGGCACATGCGTGAGTGGGCACTAAATGCCTAGCAGCAGGATGCTAGAAGCATTTGTAATCTGGCTACTTTCATTATTCCATAAAAACCAGCCAAGAGACCAGCTCTACTTACTTTCTCTGAGGCAGAGCTATGGCAAACTGAGGCACTGACCCTATGAGCCCTTATGCACATAACAGTGTCTAGTCGGTGTTCCCTTAGCCACAAAGAAGTTTGCATGGTCAGGGTCCTAGTTTTAGGCTATTTCTAATCTGAGTAGTAGTCATGGCCCCTTGGAAAGTGCTGTCCTGCTGGCATCGCAAGTCATTCACTTTAACCTAGGCACCGTCCCAGTCACTCACGCTCACAGGTAGAGCTCTCTCGAGCTAGGTAGTTTTACAGATGCTACCTGTGTACTCGCTAAAACAGGCTACATTAAGGTGAACCCTATATGACACTTCTCCCTTTCTTTAAATAAAAATGCAATGAAGAAATAGTGTTGAAGACTGTCAAGTGCGTCTGCTGCAGTAGCTCCACCAGAAACACACACCAGCTGTATGTAAAAGTGTGTTGTTCACCTGGTGATTCCAGTCACGCAACCCTTTTGACGTACCAGCTACAGACAAACAGGGAGCAGTTAAAGAAAATGTATTTATCCGATTTCAAAGAATCACTGAGGAAGACGTTTGTATTGACCAACAGTGACATACCTGGAGATAAAAACTAGTCCTGCTGTGCTAATCAAGTGAATGATTACAGCTGTCACAGACTCAGCTGCAGCACCACCAGAGCCAAAGTGCCCCAGGTTTCCCTCCTGTCTTCTCAAAGTGCTAGTACCATTTCCCTAAACAGATCAGACTTTTTAGAAGTATCTTCTTCTCTTCCACACTCATGTCAGATGCTACAAAGTGATGAGAATGTTCTGTGCTGGAAGGCTCACTGTAGCTGGATCAGTACAGCATACAGGTGGTTAATACCCCAGAGGAGTTTGATTTCTCAAGTCTGCACAAAGGTGATGACATAAAAAGTCACACAGCTTCCCATGTGCATGCTCATAGGTGTAGCTAACCGAAAGAATAGGTCCTTCAAAACAATAAAGGCATCATGCCAACACAGCCCTGCTTTACCCATTTTTCTCTCAGCCCAGCTATCCCTGGTTCCTCTTCACTCTCTGGACCTGTTTTGAAATAAATGTCAAAATCAAGCTTCTCCTCCTGGGTCACAAATCTTTTGATAAACACTGGGACATGAACACACGCATCCACAGATCACACCAAGACCAGTGGGCAACGGCAAATTCATCATCACAACCTATCAGCTTGTCATGTCTCACACGAGGCGTCGTTCACGAGGTAGAAAACAGAAGCCTCCAAAGGAAGGTCGGTGCAGGCAAAATGATTCACGACCTAATGAATTCCTAACCAAAAAAAAAATGGTTCCAATGCCTCAAAATTACAGAAGCCATGAATTTCATGAAAAAAATATTACCTTTCAAGACGTATAGGTATAAAAATAAATTTACTCTCTGTCGAGACTTACAAAATCTGCCCCCCATCCCATTCATCACAGTGGTGTGACGCTTTGCATGTACTACAGAATTTATAATGTTCATCAGAAGGAGGGAAAGTTCTACAGCCAGAAAACTGAACTGTCAAGTCAGTAACTGCTGTGCTCCAGGTCACACCAGCAACATGAGGCAGAAGCAAGTATTCAATGTCTCAGAATAAGTTCGCTGCTCAAGTGAAAGCGGAAAAATAAACCTTTCCTCCCCAAAATGCTCAGAGGACTTTTAGCTGAGGGTACTGGGGTAAGAAGGAGGAAAGCAGGGCCTCCAGGAGAGGGTTCCACCACCCAGGTGAGTAGGCAATGTCTGTCCCAATCACAGGCCAGAGACACAATTCCATCACTGTTCCTTCTACCCCAGCAGGCAGTTCAGGCCAGTTTTGGCCCCTTAAAAGCAGCAGGGGTTGTTAGGTACATATGTGAGGCTTGTAAGCACGGCTATAGGGGGCAGATCTGTAGATCACCGATTTGTCCCACCAGAAGTGGTGTGTGAGCCCACCACCAGCTGGAGAATGCCACGTGTTGGGGCAGGAGCTGTTTCTGTGCTAGGCTAGCATCCCACAATGGGGAGCTTGCCCCAGAGGTGCCGGTCATGCTGCCCAAAGCAAGGTGTATGTGAACAGACGCAATGACGGTATGAGCCCCAGCACAAATGCCTGGAACCAGTAACTACCATACCAGTGGAAAAAGCAAGCTACCTGCAGCACAGCAAGCACAGGATACCCCTCCACCATGACATGACAGCTCAGTGTTCATGTAGCAGTATTCCTACCACCAATAGTAAGGCCAACTATTCTTTCAATGCAGGATAATTTTTTCCCCCTTCTAAAAAACTAGAATACTTGTGTCTCATTCCTTGTTCCAAGCAGGTGATGGGCCAAGACAACATGGTATAAAGGACTGAAGGAC